GACGGGCTTGGGCGCCTGTGACGCCGCGGCACGTTGCGTGGGGCATCTTTGATCGTGGCCGCACACCACACACACACATACTCGCACACACACACACACGCACACACCCACACACCTCACCCACAAACACAACTCATCCATACACAACTTACTCACACATACTCGTCCACACATAACTTACTCCACACCAATCCTTCACCATCTCTTTTCTCTTTCTTGCTTACCCCATGCCGTCTTTGCCTTTCTTTTGTTGCTTGTTGGAAGAAGTTGACTTGTGGGGTTATCCGGTCCTTTAATTTCCAAAGAACTGCTGCCAACTTCAACTGGTTGAATTTTCTGCATTTACATCACCTACATCTACATCAAGTATTGCATTTTAAAACGCTAGTGTGTGAGCCCGAGCATACCCAAAAGCAAAGAAAGGCACCATGGCACACAATGCGATGAGCAATCTTCACAAATTCAGTCAGGTGCCGCTACACATCCGAACTTCTATCTAACCGTGATTGGCCGTGGCTATTGGCTGCTGTACACTTCCTCACCCCATGGGCTTCTCATGCAACATGTATCTTCTATTTGCATGGTCCCAATCGAATGATAAGATATGGTAAGTGTCACAAACCCCGGAAAGTTGGGGAATGCGACCTTGAAGACAAAAAGACAGTGGAAACAAGAGAACAAAAGCAAAAAGGAAAAGGAACAAAAAGATATGTTGCTGTATCAAGGGGATGAAAGGGTATAGACTTGCATGGAAGTTGCACCAGCCCATCAAAAGCGAAAAGAGCAGCAGTCTTTTGCACAGCTTTGAAACTGTCAGCTGCTGCGCCACACATTTGCAACAGCTTCTGCAAGCATTGGCCTGACAAATCACTTTGTGAAGGCGCTGTCATCCACATCTTTGTTAAAAGAACGCGCACATATTTCCGAAACAAGTATGACCCGACCTTGCAGCCGCTGCCAAGTCTGCAATTGGATTGAGCTGACGACCAACGCCCTGCCAAGGCGAGCCTGAACCCTTTTGTTCTCGAAGAATAGATGAGGGGAAATGACCAAAATGACCAAAAGTGATACGCAATGATAGGACATGATACAAAATGATACAAAATGATACAAGTAAGACTAAGAACCAAATGCGAATCAAAATGAAAACACCTCGAGGACAATGATGCTTGTCCTGAGCCGGTGCAGCACTGATTGGGAGCAGTGCTTGCCGAGCTGTTTTGCTGGCACTTTGTGCACACAGCGCGCAAGTTGTTGCAATCTGCTTTAGGACCAGGATCAAAGGCGGACGAAAGAAACGAGGAAAGAAACGAGGCAAAATCCGAGGAAGAATGAAAGGAATATATATACTGAATATACGGTAAAAGAATTGGAAAAGGATTGGCTGTAAAGGGTCAGGTCAAGCAGCAAATTCTCGAGAGACTGCTATTGCAATCAAGCTTAAAGATGCTTAAAGATGCTTAAAGTACTTCTTAAAAGTACTTCTTGTATCTTCTTGTTGGCTCTGCCTTGACCTAGACTGTTCCTATCCGTCGTTGGTCCAGATTCGGTCTCGAGATTCTCGATTTGGTCAAGATCTTCCTGATCTTCCTGATCTTCCTTTTTCTAGTCTTTTCATCATTTTTCCCCAGATAGCTGGCAAGCTATAGGGGTTCTTACTTCTCAAAGGTGCGGTCTTCGGTGGCGAACTTTTGAGCAGGGTGCTGTGCAGGGTGCTGTGCCGGGTGCTGTGCAGGGTGCTGTGCAGAGTGCTGTCCAGACTGCGGTGGCGAAGTCTGGCGAAGGTGCTGTGCAGGGTGCTGTGCAAGGTGCTGTGCAGAGTGCTGTCCAGACTGCGGTGGCGAAGTCTGGCGAAGGTGCTGTGCAGGGTGCTGTGCAGGGTGCTGTGCAGGGTGCTGTGCAGGGTGCTGTCCAGACTGCGGTGGCGAAGTCTGGCAAAGGTGCTGTGCAGGGTGCTGTGCAGGATGCTGTCCTGCAGACTGGAAGGTGGCGAAGTCTGGCAAAGGCGCGAAGTCTGGCAAAGGTGTTGTGCAGGGTGCTGTGCAAGGTGCTGTCCAGACTGCGGTGGCGGAGTCTGGCAAAGGTGCTGTGCAGGGTGCTGTGCATGGTGCTGTCCAGACTGCGGTGGCGAAGTCTGGCAAAGGTGCTGTGCAGGGTGCTGTGCAGGGTGCTCTGCAGGGTGTTGTCCAGAGTGCGGTGGCGAAGTCTGGCAAAGGCGCTGTGCAGGGTGCTGTGCAGGGTGCTCTGCAGGGTGTTGTCCAGACTGCGGTGGCGAAGTCTGGCAAAGGTGCTGCGCAGGGTTGTGCAGGGTGCTGTGCAGGGTGCTGTGCAGGGTGCTGTCCAGACTGCGGTGGCGAAGTCTTGCAAAGGTGCTGTGCAGGGTGCTGTGGAGGGTACTGTGCAGGGTGCTGTGCAAAATGCTGTCCAGACTGCGGTGCTGTGCAGGATGCTGTGCAGGGTGTTGTCCAGAGTGCGGTGGCGAAGTCTGGCAAAGGTGCTGTGCAGGGTGCTGTGCAGGGTGCTGTGCAGGGTGCTGTGCAGGGTGCTGTGCAGGGTGCTGTCCAGACTGCGGTGGCGAAGTCTGGCAAAGGTGCTGTGCAGGGTGCTGTGCACAGTGCTGTTCAGACTGCAGTGGCGAAGTCTGGCAAAGGTGCTGTGCAGGGTGTTGTGCAGGGTGCTGTGCAGAGTATTGTGCAGGGTGCTGTGCAGGGTGCTGTGCAGGGTGCTGTGCACGGCAAAGGTGCTGTGCAGGGTGCTGTGCAGGGTGCTGTGCAGGGTGCAGAGGGTGCTGCTGTGCAGGGTGCTGTGGAGGGTGCTGTGCAAGGTGTTGTCCAGAGTGCGGTGGCGAAGTCTGGCAAAGGTGCTGTGCAGGGTGCTGTGCAGGGTGCTGTGCAGGGCTCCAGACTGCGGTGGCGAAGTCTCGCAAAGGTGCTGTGCAGGGTGCTGTGAAGGGTGCTGTGAAAGGTGCTGTGCAGGGTGCTGTGCAGGGTGCTGTGCAGAGTGCTGTGCAGCGTGCTGTGCTTTGGTTCCCACGTTGGGAACCATCAGTTCCAACCTTTAGGAACTGGAAGTTCTTTGCAATGGTAACCTATGGTTCCCACGTTGGCAACAGTGAGTTCCAACCTTTGGGAACCGGCAGTTCCTTGCCATGAACCAAACGCAAACATTCCGGTACCGGTCCATTAAGCAAAACAAAGCGTTCTTTACCGGTCCATTAGGCAAAACCATAAAATTGTAAAGAAACTGTTTTCATATCATTTTGACATGCACCTTTTTCGTGCAAAAACTTTTTTTTGCCGGCCCAGCAGCCGAACGCAAACATTCCGCTACCGGTCCATTAAGCAAAACAAAAGGTTCTGTTACCGGCTCAGTAAACAAAACAAAACAACATTAAGAACCATGAGTTCTAACTTTTTGGAATCAACAGATCCTTCCACTGGTAACGTTACTTTTTCAGGCTTGGAACCATGAGTTTCAAGCTTTGGATACCCGCAGTTCCTTACAATGAAAGCCGCTTAGCTTCGAAAACATCAATTCTAATTGCTGGCAACCGGCATGGAACCATGAGTTTCAAGCTTTCGCAACCGGCAATTCCTTACAATGATAGTTGCTTAGCTTCGAAAACATAAATTCTAACTTCTGGGAACCGGCAATTCCTTGCAATGGTAACCTCTGGTTCTCAGGTTGGGAACCGTAAGTTTCAAGGTCTGGGAACTGGCAGTTCCTTGCCATGGTATCCTTTGATTCCCACGTTGGGAACCGTCAGTTCCAACCTTTAGGAACCGGAAGTTCTTTGCAATGGTAACCTATGGTTCCCAGGTTGGGAAGCATGAGTTCCAACCTCTGGTAACCGGCAGTTGCTTGCAATGGAAACCCATGGTTCCCAGGTTGGGAACCAGGAGTTCCAACCTCTGGGAACCGGCAGTTCCTTGCAATGGTAACCTGTGGTTTCCACGTTGGCAACCGTGAGTTCCAACCTTTGGAAACCGGCAGTTCCTTGCCATGAACCAAACGCAAACATTCCGCTACCGGTCCATTAAGCAAAACAAAAGGTTGTGCTACCGGCTCAGTAAACAAAACAAAACAACATTAAGAACCATAAGTTCTAACTTTTTGCCATCAACAGATCCTTCCACTGGTACCGTTACTTTTTCAGGCTTGGAACCATGAGTTTCAAACTTTGGGAACCCGCAGTTCCTTACAATGATAGCCGCTTAGCTTCGAAAACATAAATTCTAACTTCTGGGCACTGGCAATTCCTTGCAATGGTAACCTCTGGTTCCCAGGTTGGGAACCGTAAGTTTCAAGGTCTGGGAACCGGCAGTTCCTTGCCATGGTAACCTTTGGTTCCCACGTTGGGAACCGTCAGTTCCAACCTTTAGGAATTGGAAGTTCTTTGCAATGGTAACCTATGGTTCCCAGGTTGGGAAGCATGAGTTCCAACCTCTGGGAACCGGCAGTTGCTTGCAATGGTAACCTCTGGTTCCCATTGTGGGAACCATGACTTCTAACTTATGGGAACCGGCAGTTCCTTGCAATGGTAACCTGTGGTTCCCACGTTGGCAACAGTGAGTTCCAACCTTTGGGAACCGGGAACCGGCAGTTCCTTGCCATGAACCAAACGCAAACATTCCGGTACCGGTCCATTAAGCAAAACCATAAAATTGTAAAGAAACTGTTTTCATATCATTTTGACATGCACCTTTTTCGTGCAAAAACATTTTTATGCCGGCCCAGCAGCCGAACGCAAACATTCCGCTACCGGTCCATTAAGCAAAACAAAAGGTTCTGTTACCACCTCAGTAAACAAAACAAAACAACATTAAGAACCATAAGTTCTAATTTTTTGGAATCAACAGATCCTTCCACTGGTACCGTATGCTTTTTCAGGTTTGGAACCATGAGTTTCAAACTTTGGGAATCTGTAGTTCCTTACAATGATAGTTGCTTAGCTTCGAAAACATAAATTCTAACTTCTGGGAACCGGCAATTCCTTGCAATGGTAACCTCTGGTTCCCAGGTTGGGAACCGTAAGTTTCATTAAGTTTCAAGGTCTGGGAACCGGCAGTTCCTTGCCATGGTAACCTTTGGTTCCCACGTTGGGAACCATCAGTTCCAACCTTTTCTATCTGGGATCTATGCCGGTGTAATTTTTCATCATGTTTCATCATGTTTCATCATTTTTCATCCTTGCATCAGGCATGTCCCTTGCTTGTATGCAGTGCCCTCCGTTGGACAGCCGTTTGTCGCGCAATCTGATGCAGTGTGCAGTCATTGCATCTCCCTTTACTCTCCTCTCTTGTAGGGAGGGTTGAAACCATTTCAGGAAGATTCTACGTAGTCAATTCACACACACACACAACCCACTGAATCGGCACTGGCACCAAGATGCTTCGAAAGAATTGAAGCTGTGGATACTGAGGATCGATCGCCACAGTCACAAAGCTGGTTTCAAGCTTCACCCGGTGATCGCATGCTAACCTCAGCATTCTCCGGGGGTGCTTTTTGATTTTTTGTAATCTAAAGAACATATTCTGCTCCGCCCAGCACTTGTTTCCAAGTAGCGACAGCATTCGTCCAAAGCATTCGCCCAGCCGAACCTGTAAAGAAACACGACTTTTTCGATCGTTTTCGTATTTTTTCAATCTGCCCAAATCTACCAAATATCTGCGCCACACCTTCCCGAGAGAGAAGCCCATATCACACACTTCATTCACCAGCTGGCCAACACTGGCCTAGGCTAGGTTTGAAGTCTGTGTCTCACAAACTTACAGAAAAGCCCCATGCTGAAACTTGCTGAAACTATGCTCGAGACCACAAATTCATCTTCGTTACCTACAAAGCGGTTCAAAATGTGCATCTCGCAATCAAATCAATCAGGCTCTACTCTTCATCCATCTTGCAGAGGAGATACGCACTAAAGAACGATCACCAGGCGTGCGCTCTACCTGTTCATGTCACGCCAAAAAAACATTCAAGCTGGAGCAAGCAGACTTTGCAGTGTGTACAACCCGCTCAGAAATATGAGGCGGTTTGCAAGATGTTTTAATACGTTTATTTAAAAAAAGAATCCGATTGCAGCATAGATAAAATGCATTTTCGGCAAAGTGTGCGTGTGTCTGTGCGCATTTGGAATGAAGATGAATGAAGTCCCTTGTTTTCAAAGGGAGTGGCGTGGAGATGCAGGAGAAGAAAAAATCGAATGTATTCAGTCGATTTGTTATACAAACGTGTGACATAGTTGACCAAGGAGCCTGTATGATAGAGCAAGCGAGAAAAACTCGACTGGACCAGTATGGGAAAATGGGGCTGCCTTCAGAGAGAGGAACAGTTTCAGCAGAGTGGGTTACACGAAGAAGAAAAAAATGGATATGATAAGAAACGCATGTTTTAAAATGCATTTAAACAAGAGAGGATGCCTTTGAGGCAAAAACGGTGTGCCTGCAGAAAGAGCTGAATTTGAGATGCAGGGCTGTCCTTTGCAAGCATGCCTTGTTTTGAAACGGAACGTTCAAAAGGTTTTACTGGATGTTGTTGGACCACGGTCTTTATTTGCCTGTGTGTTCACACTGTGTGTTATTGGCACATTTTGGACGTTTTTGCTGGGGGTGGGTTAGGGTGGGATGGTGGTGGGAGGGGGCGCTGCCTTGCACTAGCACACGCACGTGATGCCAACACGTTAGAGATGGTGGTTGGGGGGGTGTCTTCGCATTCGCCTGCACCTGCACACGCTTGATGCTACGTGAGAGACTTGGCACTATAGGTTTGAGATTTCCCGCCTTGTGCTTGCACATGCACGTGACGCCAAAGCTTACATAAAATCCCGACGCTAGGGTTCTTGCAGTTGGAGAAGCCGCCGCAAAAGAAACGATAGAAAACACACTTGGATGTTCATGTCTAAGTAGTTTGGGGAGTACCAATGTCAATGTTCTTGAGTACAAAGCATGGTAGAATTACGAGATGGTAGGTCTTTCCCTCTGGAAGAGCGACGACAAATGATTTCTTTCCTCAAATCACAGTGGGACTCGTATTTTGAACAACATCTGAGAGTTCACAACTGTTGAATCACCCATGGGCAAACAAAGATCGTGTACCTAGCCAGCTACTTGAAAACAGTGAATGCTTTAAACTTTAAACATGGGTTGCCTGGAAAGAAACGGAATGTTCGTCAAAAATACAGGAATCCTTTCAGAATCAAGAAGACAATCTTTTTAGCCAGGAATGTGGATTCAATTCAGGCAGTGAGGATTGTACACGGAAGACTGCGTTCTTTACAAAGAAACAATGTTGACTGTTGGGATTCTATCGCATGGTGCCTTTCAAAGGTGCAAATGGTTTCCTGCCCAAAGAAAGGGTCAAACCAACAAACAAGTTGCATCAAGATGGTGACTAGTGCTTGCAAAACAAAGCCGCCTCAATTGGCCTGTGCGTTTCAGAAAGGAAATTGTTCAGAATACTAGGGGCGTTGGGACAAAAGGTCGAGAGAAACAAGTGCTCGATCACAACCCCACTACGAAACGAAAGATTTGGAATCGATTAAATTTACTACCTGAAGGGACAACGACTTACATATTTCCCCAGATAGCTGGCAAGCTATACCGGTTCGTACTTCTTATAGGTGAGGTCTTCAGTGGCAAACTTTTCAGCTTCCTGCTCTACAGGGTGTTGTGCAAGCTGGTACGGTTGCGAAGCTTGATGCTGTCCAGAGTGTGGTGGCGACGTTTCGCAAAGGTGCTGTGCAGGGTGCTGTCCAAGGTGCTGTCCAGGGTGCAAGGTGCTGTGCAGGGCTGTGCAGGATTCAGGATGCTGTGCAGGGTGCCGTTCCGCTATTTCCGCGACCAATTCACACAGCAGAAAAAAGCACTCTAAAAACCTTTTCTATCTGGGTCTAGGCGGTCTATGCGGGTTGTAGTTCTATCATGCTATATCAATATTGCGTCTAGGTTTGCTGCTGCAGCTCCATGAGCACCATGAACGAAAGATCCGGTCTCGGTCTTGATCACAGAAGCAATGTCAGGGAGACATGTTTTTGTGAACTGTGGCTACTGCGAAACAAGCGGCATGTTCCAAAAGAACACGGGTTTTCTACCAACGAGAAAATGGAAAACTACAAAAGAATATCTACTACATACATGTATTATAATATGTACATAAACTGAATGTACTCAATATATAGTTACATGCCGATCAAACATGTCACATATGCATATGCTGCTCATATGCTTCATCTGTGGGGGTCTTGCATCTGGCATTCAGAAGCAGGTGCCAACTGGAGATTAACAATCGAAACCTAGGATTGATGGCTGTGTCTTTTCCCTATATAAAGGAAAAGAGCATAGAAGGGCATAGGCCCAGCATGCCAATGCGGAAACCGTTGTATTTGCATCATGTCTGTTCCGTGCTTTGCAAACTCACATCCCCAACCAATGCGTTTGGAGACTAACACCCATTCAAGCACCCTGGACAAGGATACTTGTTTTGGCTTAGTGCTCCATGGAAACTGTACGGAGAAACTACACATTTGGCGGACCATCAATTGAGCAGCCCTCTTCCCATCATTTGTCGTGAGGGCCTTAGCAAAGGCGATTTGCTTCATATCACATTTCGCCATGCTGAAACATGCTGAAAAGACCTTTGGATCTGCCACTGAGCTTTGAGCGTAGAAGACATCAACAAAATTCCGCCGGTCCTTGCAGGAAAAATTGAACATCGTCGCGACTTCTGCGTCACAAATTCTCCTACAAATGGCCTTCGGAGACATCTGTACAGCAAGACCAGCATCAAAAATCACCTCAATAGTTTTGATAAAGCGTGCCGAGATGTTCAGAGATGGGAGATTTTCAAACATACTCAATGATACTACAGTAAGATGTCTGTTGCAGTTGCGCCATTGTGCCACTGTGCCACTGCATCCACAAGACTTAGGGTTTGCGCAAGTTCAGATTGCATTGGGCCACTGTCCTACAGCATTCTGCGACAGGCTGTAGAGTCACTTGAAGCATGTTGGAGCTGGAGATTTTCAGATTGAGTCCAACAAAGATCTCTCATTGCCCTCGATACTGTTCTTCTTGTCACACTAAAGCATGAAGGCCAACAAAGATGAGGAATAGCAATGGACTAATTCAATACGAAGAAGCTAGAGCTAGAGTGAGAAGACTGAATCTTCTGAGCCGTAAACTCTAACTTGCCGCCTGTTAAAGTGGATGTTGCCAGGATGAAGATCCTAGCGATGCATGTTGCTGTGATGCATGCTGCATTTCAAATTTGAGCTCAACCATTCGTTTGAAAAACCAGCCGGGCCAACTGCATGGATGAAATTGTCTGCAAAGAGCATTTTCAGAAACCTGAAACATCTGACATTGGAAAATTATGGAAAATTGGCATAGCCAACAAGGAATGAACATGTCCAAGGCTTGTCCAAGGTGACCTTCTCAGACTTGTTGGACCTGGGTTCTTCTAAGCAATACACGCGTCCATACACAGACCTCCAACCTGACAGAGAAAGTCTTCAGCCACGGGTTGACACTGTGTGTACGTAAAGTAAACAGGTACCTTGCATCTACTGAAGTCTACTGCACTTGAAGTACTTGAAGATTTTGGAAGATCTTGGAAGGTCTGAGAAGATCTTGGAAGGCTTTGGAAAGAAACTGCTGAAGCCGCCGCTCTGGACCCTTTGAGGTTTTGCCTCTTCCCGAAGCTCAACTGCCGTTGCTGGGGCTGCTTTGCCTTGATCTGCTTTCAAAGGATCAACTCGCAGATCCAGGTTGGAACATGCCCAGCGTGGTCAATAGTTTTCAATGTGTGGGTCCATCTATGATTCGTGTTCAAACACAAACAGTGGAATCAATGAATTGCTTGCACTCTCAGTGGTCATTGCGTGGCCCTACAAACCACAAAATATACAAAATAGAATTCAAATAAATATGAGTCATAACAAGTCAAAAGCCATCTGGCAAATCAAGCAGTTGGCTTTGAGTGGTTTGTCTGTGGAGCGGCGCAAACTTGATCCCTAAATGAGCTTGGTTTGCCAAAACGTGCTTTGCCCGACCGAACCTCGACGAAAAAATGATGGAACTGAGTTCCGCGTTATTACTTTTTTTTGGATACGCGTTGCATGTTCAAAGAATAAACAGGTGCTTCACCCAGCACTTCAATCCGCAATGTAGGTGTGTTTGTATTTTCTTCCACCAGTGCTGTCATCGGAATAGGGATGCAAGCTGCAAATATTCGCACAACTAACTCCCATACATCATGCAATATGCTTGCAAATACTTGTGTTGCATAAAATCTCAGCATTGCATTGTTATATCCCAATGCTATTGAATCTACAAAATAATTTCATTACATAGTGTCGTGCTACAGGAATTAAGTTGCTGTTTTGTTGCTGTGAGACTTTCTTTCCACTGTTCGACTACATGAGAATATCTATCTACTCTATATATATATATATACACGTATATGTGACATGTGTGATATAGATATGTAGATGGACTAGATACAGACAAGATGAGTTTAAGATTTGTATTGGGATTTGGATTGGGAGTGGATTAGGATTAGGATTAATTATATATATAGGTTTGGTTTGGTATATAGATACATACACAAACATATGTATGTCACGTCACATTGAAATGCACTGCATAAGTGTGATGTCCAGTTGTCTCCGTGCATGTTGTGAGCAATGCCACTGCTTGTTCCAATCGCGACACGTTTAACGAAGTCTACAGTAATTCTATGCTACAGAATAGATCTGAATAGACTGACTTGGCATGCGTTGCAACTTCTTTCTCTAATTGAGTCTTGCGCAGTCCCGGCTTGCGGAGTTGGCACGGCTTGCCTCTGAACACAATTGACATGGATATCAGGATATCCCGGATACGTTTGAAGTCAGCACAGTGTAACTGCGAGCAACGCAGTTCAAATAGAAAGTGGGCCTGCCCGAGAACAGCTTGCAACGGCATGCCATCCTCCAGAGATTCAACCTTGGTTCTTTCCCATCACCATCTCGACCGAGCAATCCAACTAAGTCAGAACTAAGTCAGAATTAAGTCAGAACTAAGTCAGAACTAAGTCAGAAGCAAGCAAGTCCTTGGTCACATATGGCCGGAGCACCTTGTCAACAGAATTGTCAACAGGTGGCTTTACTCCATATCAAGCGAGATGCGGGAGACATGCTGTCAGATCTTCTTGTCTTCAAAGAGAAGCGGATGGTATAACGGTGTTGCTGTATTCCGGTATTGCTGTACCATTCAGAATGGAACACTTAGATTGAGATCTCAAGAAATCGCATAAGCAATTCCATACACTTACTGCGAGTCTGTCAAACGTGCCATCATGTGCCATTCCCTAGTGCCCTAGTGGAAACATGTTACAGCAGAACCACGCTTCGAAAACTGATGCATTGTCGAAGAGCAGACGATCTTTCGTTCTAACGGAGTCTAACGGAATCCTGACGAATTACTCCCAATGAATTCACCCATACGAATAGTGCAGATCCAGTAGGGACTTTCCTGCCAGTGTGTTGTGGCCAAGAATGCATTATCACCAGCCATTGTATCAAGATGTTTCAAGAGGGCCAAAGATGGATTCTTGCAACGTCCGCGTTCTGTTCTTAAAGAAACTTCTATGCTACATTAGGCTCCGCGTTGCAGCTGGGATAAATTTGACAAGGAGATTCTTCCAAAGTGCTGGGCTGGGGAGAGTGGAGCAGTGATGGTCAGATTGGGCAGTGTGTTTGCATAGTGTTTGGGGTTTGGGCAGTACACATGGCAGTCCAGACTCGAAGATCTCTCGCACAGCAATGTGTTGCATGCGCGGCTTCACGTCAAATGGTCAAAGAAAGGCGGTTTGCGTGAGGCGGGTGGAGGGATGAAAGTGCTTTTTACTTGTGTCTTTCCATGTCTTTCCAATACCAATAGAGTAGTCCTTCTTTCTCTCCTGCCGTGCGGGAAATCCGAATGCAAATCAAACATGGAGCAGTTGCTGCCTCCACCGTACTTTATCTGTAAGATTCTGTACTGCGAATCAGATGCAGGATGGATTGAAATCAGGGAAAGCAGTGCAGACAAATATGTTGCCACGCGCCTCGGGAAAAATCACTCGCAGTCCCTTTCCAGTGCGCCGGTAGGGGAAGTTGTTGTTGAACATATCCAAATTGTCCGCCTGGTAATGAGTGTTGAATTGATGGCAAAACTAAAAGGAAACACAAACAACCTAGGCAGCCAGCCCTACTTGAAGCATGCCAAGTTGAATGCGATTGATTGCAATCATTGAATCGCATCCTTTGAGGTGTCGTAAGAATGTAAAAATGTCCAGAGATGCCCAGAGCCTCAATCCGGAGGTCAGCCTGAATGTTGCCAAGTTCCAAAGTTTCCAAGAATGAGTTCCCAGTCACAAGCAGCAAACAAAATGAACCAACGCAATCTTGATCAGAACTCAGAACATCTCCCCACATCTGCAGCCTGAGGTCGCACAAAGCTTTCAAAGTGCATCACGGCTTCTGACCTGGGATCGCTATCTCTGTCAGTGCAGGCATACCAAACCAGTTAGCTTTGGGATGCTTCCCCATCCTGCTGCAATCGGGCACCCAATGTCAAGCAGGGCACCAAGTGGATCTCATGGAATCCCATAAGCACTTTTAAGACAACCCACTCCTACTGGCTAGGCTATTACTCATGCTGCACCATTCTGTCCTGCAGGATTGACTCGTCCATGCTTTTTTGGCAAGTTCTCTGGGGTGTGAGACGAACAACAAATGGCAGGATGACCGGACAGGCTAGATTGCTGGGATGCTGTGTACAATTGCGTATCCAAGATGTACTCATAGTCCAATATGCAGAAGAGCAGGGTCTGTGCTTCATTGCTCGCGCTACTAGAATGCGTGCCACGTGTGGGCATCGACGTAGAAAAGCAAAGAAACAGAAGCACGCTGTTCAGAAGCAGGTCGCTGACATAATTTTAAGCCTGCTTCGAACCCGCCAGTCATTCTGAATTCTCTTTCAGGTCAGCTGCCGGAATGACAGCAGGTTTGTCAGCTGTTGAAAGTTAAGACTGCATTTAATTTTCTAAGCCTCCAGCATTGCTAAAAAGCGAGAGGGAGGCCAGAAAGCCTGACAGGAAATTGCCGCGGAGTAACAGAAAATACAGAGAGAAGATCGAAAGTCACTACAGTGGACTACAGTAGACAAAAGGTTCAGATGTTCTTGTCCTGGCCAAACAGGTAGTCACAGCTGTGACCGTGAGCCTATTTTGAACATACACTGCATCGCCGCCCTATTCTGTGATATTTGAGGAATGCATGAATCTTCTATGATTCTATAAGATCTATAAGTAAAGTACAAAGGCATCAAAGGCATCAAAGGCATCAAAGGCATCAAAGGCATCAAAGGCATCAAAGGCATCAAAGGCATCAAAGGCATCAGAGGCATCAAAGGCATCAGAGGCATCAGAGGCATCAGAGGCATCAGAGGCATCAGAGGCATCAGAGGCATCAGAGGCATCAGAGGCATCAGAGGCATCAGAGGCATCAGAGGCATCAGAGGCATCAGAGGCATCAGAGGCATCAAAGGCATCAGAGGCATCAGAGGCATCAGAGGCATCAGAGGCATCAGAGGCATCAGAGGCATCAGAGGCATCAGAGGCATCAAAGGCATCAGAGGCAGCAGAGGCAGCAGAGGCAGCAGAGGCATCAGAGGCATCAAAGGCATCAAAGGCATCAAAGGCATCAGAGATCAGAGGCATCAGAGGCATCAGAGGCATCAGAAGCATCAGAGGCATCAGAGGCATCAGAAGCATCAGAGGCATCAGAGGCATCAGAGGCATCAAAGGCATCAGAGATCAGAGGCATCAGAGGCATCAGAGGCATCAGAGGCATCAGAGGCATCAGAGGCATCAGAGGCATCAGAGGCATCAGAGGCATCAAAGGCATCAGCGGCATCAGAGGCATCAGAGGCATCAGAGGCATCAGCGGCATCAGAGGCATCAGAGGCATCAGAGGCATCAGAGGCATCAGAGGCATCAGAGGCATCAGAGGCATCAGAGGCATCAGAGGCATCAGAGGCATCAGAGGCATCAAAGGCATCAGAGGCAGCAGAGGCAGCAGAGGCAGCAGAGGCATCAGAGGCATCAAAGGCATCAAAGGCATCAAAGGCATCAGAGATCAGAGGCATCAGAGGCATCAGAGGCATCAGAGGCATCAGAGGCATCAGAGGCATCAGAGGCATCAGAGGCATCAGAGGCATCAAAGGCATCAGCGGCATCAGAGGCATCAGAGGCATCAGAGGCATCAGCGGCATCAGAGGCATCAGAGGCATCAGAGGCATCAGAGGCATCAGAGGCATCAGAGGCATCAGAGGCATCAGAGGCATCAAAGGCATCAGAGGCATCAGAGGCATCAGAGGCATCAGAGGCATCAGAGGCATCAGAGGCACCAGAGGCACCAGAGGCATCAGAGGCATCAGAGGCATCAGAGGCATCAGAGGCATCAGAGGCATCAGAGGCATCAGAGGCATCAGAGGCATCAGAGGCATCAAAGGCATCAGAGGCATCAGAGGCATCAGAGGCATCAGAGGCATCAGAGGCATCAGAGGCATCAGAGGCATCAAAGGCATCAGAGGCAGCAGAGGCAGCAGAGGCAGCAGAGGCATCAGAGGCATCAAAGGCATCAAAGGCATCAAAGGCATCAGAGATCAGAGGCATCAGAGGCATCAGAGGCATCAGAAGCATCAGAGGCATCAGAGGCATCAGAAGCATCAGAGGCATCAGAGGCATCAGAGGCATCAAAGGCATCAGAGATCAGAGGCATCAGAGGCATCAGAGGCATCAGAGGCATCAGAGGCATCAGAGGCATCAGAGGCATCAGAGGCATCAAAGGCATCAGCGGCATCAGAGGCATCAGAGGCATCACAGAGGCATCACAGAGGCATCACAGAGGCATCACAGAGGCATCACAGAGGCATCACAGAGGCATCACAGAGGCATCACAGAGGCATCACAGAGGCATCACAGAGGCATCACAGAGGCATCACAGAGGCATCACAGAGGCATCTCAGAGGCATCTCAGAGGCATCTCAGAGGCATCTCAGAGGCATCTCAGAGGCATCTCAGAGGCATCTCAGAGGCATCTCAGAGGCATCTCAGAGGCATCTCAGAGGCATCTCAGAGGCATCTCAGAGGCATCTCAGAGGCATCTCAGAGGCATCACAGAGGCATCACAGAGGCATCACAGAGGCATCACAGAGGCATCACAGAGGCATCACAGAGGCATCACAGAGGCATCACAGAGGCATCACAGAGGCATCACAGAGGCATCACAGAGGCATCACAGAGGCATCAGAGGCATCACAGAGGCATCAGAGGCATCAGAGGCATCAGAGGCATCAGAAGCAGCAGAGGCAGCAGAGGCAGCAGAGGCAGCAGAGGCAGCAGAGGCAGCAGAGGCATCAGAGGCAGCAGAGGCAGCAGAGGCAGCAGAGGCAGCAGAGGCAGCAGAGGCATCAGAGGCATCAGAGGCATCAGAGGCATCAGAGGCATCAGAGGCATCAGAGGCATCACAGAGGCATCAGAGGCATCACAGAGGCATCAGAGAGGCATCACAGAGGCATCACAGAGGCATCACAGAGGCATCACAGAGGCATCACAGAGGCATCACAGAGGCATCACAGAGGCATCACAGAGGCATCACAGAGGCATCACAGAGGCATCACAGAGGCATCACAGAGGCATCACAGAGGCATCACAGAGGCATCTCAGAGGCATCACAGAGGCATCTCAGAGGCATCTCAGAGGCATCAGAGGCATCAGAGGCATCAGAGGCATCAGAGGCATCAGAGGCATCAGAGGCATCAGAGGCATCAGAGGCATCAGAGGCACCAGAGGCACCAGAGGCACCAGAGGCACCAGAGGCACCAGAGGCACCAGAGGCAATCAAAGGCATCAAAGGCATCAAAGGCATCAAAGGCATCAAAGGCATCAAAGGCATCAAAGGCATCAAAGGCATCAGAGGCATCAGAGGCATCAGAGGCATCAGAGGCATCAGAGGCATCAGAGGCATCAGAGGCATCAGAGGCAGCAGAGGCATC